TGAGTACAAGTCTTTTACCTCCTTGGTTAAAGTTGTTCTTGGGTATTTTTTAATGAAATTTGAATGGAATGTTATCTTAGTTTGCCTTTCTGATAGTTCATTATTGGTGTTTAAAAATGCAACCAATGTCTGAATATTTACTGAATTCATTTATCAGTTCTAGTGGTTTATTGATAGAATCTTTAGGGCTCTATATAAATTTTTGTCATCTGCATATAATGACAGTTTTACTTCTTTCTTTCCAATTTGGATGCCTTTTATTTCTTCTTTCTGTCTGATTGCTGTGGGTAGAACTTACAATATTATCTTAAATAAGAGTAGTGAAAGCAGACATTCCTGTCTTGTTCCTGATCTTAAAGGAAACATTTTTAGTTTTTTCCTGTTGAGTATGCTGCTAACTGTGGGTTTGTCATATATGGCCTTAATACGTTGAGGTGTGTTCCCTTTATTCCAACCTCGGTGAGAGTTTTTATCATACATGGGTGCTTGATTTTGTCAAATGCTTTTTCTGCATCTATTTATATAATCATGTGATTATTATCCTTCATTTTTTTTTATGTGATGTATCACGTTAATTGATTTGCAGATATCATACCAACCTTACATCCCCAGAATAAATTCCACTTGATCCTGGTGTATGATCTCTTTAATGTATTGCTAAATCTCTGTTAACGTTTTTTTAGTATTTTAATATTTATGTTCATCAGGGATATTGGCCTATAATTTTCTTTCTTTGTAGTGTATCTGTTTTTTTAATTAGGATAATGCTAACCTCATACATTGAGCCTGGGAGTTATCTCTCCTCTTGAATTTATTGGAATAGTTTGAGAAGGATAGGTTTTAGTTCTTCTTTGAATGTTTGGTAAAACTTACCTGTGAAGCCATCAGGTCCAGGACTTTTGCCTGTTGGGAGTTTTTTGATTACCACTTTGAATTTGTTGATTGCACTTGACCTGTTTAGATTTTTTTGGTTCCTCTTGATTCCATCTTGGAAGACTGTATGTTTCTAGAAGTTTATCCATTTAATCCAGATTGTTCAGTTTGTTGGCATCTAGTTGCTTGTAATATTTTTTAAATAACGCTTTGTATTTTTATGATGTCAGTTGTTACTTTCCCTTTTTGTTTCTGATTTCATTTATATGGGTCTTCTCTCTTTTTTTCTTGGTGAATCTGGTTAAAAATAGATCAATTTTGCTTATATTTTAAAGATCCAGCTTTTGGTTTCAATTAATCTCATGTATTTTTTTTTTTTTTTTTTAAGACTCAATTTTATTTATTTCCACTCTGATCTTTATTATTTCTTTCCTTGTATTCTGGACTTTGTTATTCTTTTTCTAGTTTCTTTTAGGTGTAAGGTTAGATTGTTTATTTCAGATTTTCTTCTTTCTTAAGGTAGGCCTCTATTACTACTAATTTTCAACTTAGGACTGCCTTTGCTGTGTCTCATAGATTTTGGTTTGTTGCATTCTCATTTTCATTTGTTTCCAGATAACTTTTGATTTCTTCTTTGATCCCATTGTTAATCCATTCATTGTCTACTGTCTTCTTATTTACCTTCTTATGTGCCTATATGTTTGTGTGTTTTTCTTGTAATTGATTTCCAGTTTAATACCATTATGGTTAGAGAAGATACTTGATATGATTTCAATCTTCTAAAATTTATTGAAACTTGTTTTGTGGCCTGTCATGTGGTCTATCCTGGAAAATGTTCCATGAGCACTTGAAAATAATACATACCCTCTTGCTTTAGAGTGAAATGCTCTGAAAATATCAATTAAATCTATCCAGTCTCGTGTGTTTTTTTTAAGATCACTATTTTCTTGTTGATTTTCTGATCTCCTAAAGAAACTTTAAGATTAGCAAATAAATATTCTTTACATATGGTGTAGGTGATTTTGAAATTTCTGCTTTTGTTCTGGGTTCCAGGGTGACTGAGTTTGCACATGGGTCCTTTCAGGTAGAATCTCCATTTCTTACAGCCCTAGTGTTATCCTGAACATAAACCCGCTTGTTTTTAAAAGCCAGAAGTTTGGGGGGCTCATCTCTCTAGTACAGGTCCCAAGGGTTAGTGTGCCTATATTACTGATCATCCCTTCATTCCTTTCCTGTTATTTAATAACCAGATTCATCAGCTGTAAATTTATTTGTGCCTATAGAAAATGTGAATTCAGGTCTTTAGATGCTGCCATCTTGAGCTTCCCCTTGCTTTGTGTTTTTAATGTATTATTATTATTTAACCAATTCATAGGCAGATAAATGAAACAAAGAAATGTAACTGATTTGGGGAACAATCCAGCATGTTACATTGTATTATGTATTAATGACCCTGTAATTTGTTTACCCTTTGATGCTGCTAATAAGAGGCACCCTATTTCCCTCAGACAATAACTAAAAAGCTGAAGGCACTAAGTGGAAAAACAGGCTCATATGAGATTTGAGTATCTCTTAGTCTTATGAAAAAGAATAATGTCATAATGCGTTAAGGGACAATTTCTAGCTGGGGAACATAAAATTCTGCAGAAGATAAATCTCTCAAAGAAGAGTGGATTGATGTTTGTGGAAAGATATTTCAAATATCTTATCTAGAGACATGTTTTTTTTTTTTAAATATAGCAAGGGAGATACAACAAAAATTGAATAGGGAGGAATGTTAAAGTGACATGTAGAAACTAAGCACTTGAAGATGGGAAGTCCTAACACAACTCTGAATGTAGAGCATGAGAGCTGACCAGGTCAGGAGAACATATCACAGACAAAATTGTAAGTGAAGTGGGAGGACATCCCACATGCTAACAACTGCCAGAGAGCCAGCCAGGCAATTTATAGGAGAAGAAACAATGAGAGTGCATTAGGTAGGAGTCAGCTTCTAGTGCCAGTGTTTCTCTTTATCTTTTTGAACAATGTGACATGCATACTACGCATTTTTCAAGAGCCTGCTATCATTTGAAAATTGTAGTTAAAACTATACATAAAACATTTAGAAAATACAAAACCAGTAAACATAAGAATTCACAATCCTTATAAAAATGATTGTCAATACATTGTATTTCTTTCCAATATTTCTCTATATTTTTATCTTAAATAGTTGTGATTATATATCTATGTACATGAATATATATTTTTTCTATTTATCTTTTTTTACTTAATAATTAGATGGAAACTTATTTCCATGTTAGTACTACAAAAAATAATAATTCTAAGTTTCTTCTATTCAGAAAAGGCAATCTTATCATTACAGTAATATTTTAAATATGTGGTTAATCCTGAGAATACAAATACACTTCAAAGAAAGAAACACAGATTAATGACATTTTAAAGGTGGAGCTCTGGGTGGAAAAATTGTTTTGAGTCATGTGGATTTCTTGGTATTCCTCCAAACATTCGGCATAGACCATTTTTTCAGCCACTGTCATTAGCAGTCTTGAAAACACATTATACATATTTCTATTGCATCATAGTAATGACAGAAACAAACATTTCTATTTGACTGGAAAATGAGCAATGTAAGAGAACGACTGAGTTGATTCTCACAATGTTCCTGGTAATTAGAGGCTCCTTGAATCCAAGGTTCTGGTGCTCTTTGAATGCAAATTAAGTATATTTTGGGAGGGTTTACTATATAACAAAGTAAATTGAATATTATTCTCTTCTTGGTAATGAGTCAGGTTTTGGTGTTCTGATTTCCATTCCAAAGATGAAATAATCCTCTCACTCTCTCATCTGGTAACTCTCCATCTCTAGTGGTGAAGAAGTAGAATTCTTAATTTAACTGCTGATTAGAGTGTCCTGTGGGGTTTATAAACCCAGGCTAGTACCTACACTTCTGAATCAGATATGTATGAGCAAGGTCAGGCATGGTAGTTTGAGTATGCCAGTGCGATTAGAAAGGCAGTGGATCTGTAAGCTAAGTCTAAAATATTCTTGTGCTACAGAGTGAAGCTTTCATTTTTTAAGTAAATTAACTGTAATAACTATCAAACTACAGCTGGTATGTAAACCAGCCATCTGCAAAAAAAAAAAAAAAAAAAAAAAAATCCATTGATGAACAAAAGACTTGTTATGCCTTCTTTCAAGATATGAACAATTAGAACAAACTGAGCTGTTTTTGAGCCCAAGAATGGTAACAGACGACATAAAGTACATTACCTTATTACCTCATCTTTGCAAAGGAGTGCAAACAGTTGGGAGATAAAAGGATGAGTAGGTTGGATAAAATGTTCATCTTGAAATTGGAAGTAGATGGAAACAGGTGGAATGAGATCATCACATTTACAAGCTAATGATAGTTATGCAGCAGAAGCCTTATGTAACTGTCTTCTATCCCACTGCATCTGAACTCTGTGAGGTCTTCTGGGATCTCATAGTTGTTTGTAAACTCTCACTAGTGGGCCATGGAACTGATTTTGTGAATTTTGTTCAATTACTATAGACAAGGAAATATAATATATATGTTCCATCTGTTTCTTTACCTGGAACCCCCTTTAAACAGTGCTCATATTTAAAGCTCTTTAGGTCTACTACATATGGAAACTGAGGTTCTAATGTTTCTGTGGAACCTCTCTATGCTGAGAACCAAAGAGGAAAAGCCAAACCTTTTTGATGCTTAAAAGAATTCTGAATTCCTGTAGTAAACATAATGAATATTTATGTTTAACTTAACCTAAACTCTTTCAGAGGAAAGAGAATGAATACAGAATAAGAAAAATCTGTGTTTGAATCTCAGCTGAATTACATTCGGATATTGTGTCAAGTGCAATACTTAGCCTCTGATTCCTGGTCCTGCTACTGTTTTTTAACTTATGCAACAAAAATAATGTGTCTTTTAGAAGATGTTAAAAAAACTGAAATGCAATATTTGTGGACTATCTCTGACTGTTGTACCATGAAGGATGCTCAATAATCGTTTGTTTCCTTTGTCTTTGGAAGCTAAGTCAAAGAAACTCAAATTTTCCTATACCTAATTGACATTCACTATAACTACCCAAGTTATTTCCCCAAAGGAAACCCTGAAAACACGAGGAGAAATGATGACCACTCCAAGAAAGATACTGGAAAAAAGAATTTTGTTGTTGATAAAGCACTTAGAATGAAAAGATAAATTTAGGAAGTATATAAAAATCAGACTGGAGAACTACCACAAAAGCAAAGTTGTTTATGCCTACTACCAAGTGGGGAGCAGCTCTTTGTAGGATTTTCAAGATTTTGTATTAAGGTAAGGCTAACACATTTTCACATGGGGTAAGTACTATCATAACAAAAACATACTTTTTGTCTATATTACATGATGTGCTGTAAATCAGTAATTGAAAGATGCCTTGAGGAGTAATAACACTAAATAAATACATAATTATTATTTAGAGCTATTTATTCATTTGAGTAAAAAATTGTCAAGAGCTTCATTATGTCAGGCCTCAAGCAAGTCGATAAGTTATTCTGTGGTTTTTGAAATCATCTGTTGGATTGTGCTGTGCATGAGGAAATGAATAATGGCTGAAAACATTGTTAAATGGAAATACTCAGTAAAAACACCATACAGTATTCTGGTTTAAATCATGCATACAGAAGTCATGCAAATGGAGTGATATAAAGGAAACCTAGCTTGAGACCAGTATGTATGAAGAACACTTAGGACTTAGGACATCACAGAGTTAATATGATACTACATTTGTCAAAGAAAGTCAATTTTCTCAGGCTGCATTACTAGAAATGGAACACTCTGATCTTGTGAAGTGTTTGTACCAAAGATATACTGCCTGGCATATTGTGTTCAATTCAGGTCACTACATTTTAAGAGAGACTGACAGTGTTTGGGCTTCAGATGAAAAACAAAGTTTCTGAGAATATTACATAGGAGAAATAATTGTTTTATTCAGTATTTCAAGGTTTTGGAAAATGATGGCTATTTAAGCTAAGTTAGTTTACAGGATAACTTAGACAAAAGAGAAAAAATTATAAAAGAAAATTAACTGAAAATAAAGTAGCTCTTCCTAATAACTAGAATTTTCCAATATGTAGATGCCCTGAATTAGAAAGATTTCAAAAAAGTTTCTCCATTGGGTAGGTTGATAATGTTTTTTGCCCTAACCCTAAGATGCATTTTGAAAATTTTCAAATATTCTCATAATAAATTATATAATCTATATCAGGTAGTTGAAGTTAACTGGGTTTGGGATTTTTAAATTCTAAATTATTATTTAGATGCAGTCTTAATTTGCATACATTACAACCAAATGTAATTTTTTATTAGTTTTTCTTGGGTGAAGATAAGTATGTTTTTTAAAATTTCCCAGTCTTTTATAATTAAAAGCAAATAAAATATGAGTAACTGTACACTTTGATTTGTGCTTACCTTGATTACTTACAAAGAGTACATCGATACAGCTGCTTCTACTCTTCAGTCTCTATCTCTAAGCTCAGAGGTTCAGTTCTATGTCAAAGAGACAAACTCCCAAACCAAATAAACACAAAAAATGAATAGACAAACAAACATGTGCACACACACACGCACATACATCCAACACAGAAATCCTATTTTTAACACATTTTGAAGTTTCCAGAGTCACATAAACCTACAGTAATAATAGTTTGTATATATTTTTGGGTATTTCCATTCTCAGAGTATTAATTACGATGGCTCATTTTATACTGTTTATCTTTGGGGAACAGGAAGACTAAGCTGTGGAGAGTTAAAGCCAGAAACCGTTGTTTTTCATTTTGTGCCTTTATTTTCTTTTTCAATGTTTACCATATGTAAGTATCACTTGGATATAAATATTTAAATGAAATTTAAAGTAAATAAGGTGATATCAAGTCACCCAGGGAGAGCCACAAGATGTGCTGGAATGAGGGGGTGAAGGAAACATTTTCTGAATATTTGGATGAGAGGCAGCGGCATCAAGTAATGCCCAAATAAGGACTCTGTTTCCTGGCTGTATAACAAGTGCTCCTTTAGAGTGTGTAGTTAGTGGAAAGGTCAAATTGATTCCATGTAGTTGTCTAGAAAGCATAGAACCATATCAGCTATTGACTTCTGCTATATTGAACTGCTAAGCACTCCTAACTAGTCTTACCCTTTTGTTCTTATGAATCTATTGTTTATTGTCACCAAGTTTTAAAGTTCCTATTGTCCTTTTATTACTCCGTAAAATTAATCCTTTACTCTTTTCTTTTATTTTCTTCCCCAGTGTATAACATGGTCAGACATTTCAAATATTCTCAAACTAGAGGATTAAAATCCTAATTATCTTTTGTCATACCCATGCGTCAGTCAGGATTCTTAGCTGCAAAAAACAAATTAATTCTAGCTGGTTTACACAGGTAAACCATGTACTTAATGCACACTGAGTAGCTCTCCAAATTGTCTGGAAGGCTAACAACAACAAAAAAGACTGAAAAACTGAAGAGAACCAAGGTAGATCACAAAGCCAGGACCACAACTAAAATCATATTTCAGAAATGGCTCGAGAGGTGCTAGGACCACAGTTGTCGTCAATAGCTGCTGTTGCTGGCACTTGATTCTGCTGCTTCTAGAAATAAGATGTTTCTAGTGCTGATCCTGAAAGACATTGTCCATTCTCCCTACTTATCCGTGTGCCTTACTCCAGAATCAAAGTTGTGGACAAAAGTGTGTGCGTGGATAAGCCCTAGTCCTGTGTTCTTGCCCCAGCTGATAGACATAGGCTTAAGGCATGTCTTGTCTTTCTAGCTTTTAATGTCACCCATCAAAATTTATACAATGGGATATCCCACAAACATAGGATAGGGTTCCCATGCTGGGCTACCGAAAGTAATTAAAATAAAGTAAAATAAATACTATAACAAATGTTCACAGCAGTATATTTTGCCATTTAATAACTTGGTAAGCCTACTCTTTACTTTTACTCCCCTCAATCTATACTCCGCATCTAGACATTCTCCCTGCTTTTTCACCACTTGGCAGAACAGCTCTTATCCCCATCACTCTTTTAAAGTTTCTATAAAAAGGTCACCTAGTTATAAAATCAAATTGTTTCTTCTCTTTTCTCACTCTTTCCTACTACATTATTATTTTTTATGAAAATTTATTCTTTGGCTTCTGTGTCATGGCTCTGTGCTAACCTTTTGACATTTTCTTCCTAACTCTCCTTTCCTATTTAAAATTATATATATAAAATCTCCAAGAATCTGCTCTCAGTTTTCCTTTTCTATATTATTACTTTTTCTTTTTCTCTGCCATATCATTTATTGCCATAATTTTAACTATCATCTATATTCACACAGCTCCCAAATATACATCTATACCCTCAATATTTCTCCATTGAGTTCCATACTCAAAATTAAATATTTTTATATATATTTTACATAGATTTTATTTACCCTGCTATCTCATATTGATCATGCTCACAATCAAACTTGTCTTAACATTTTCTTTCATTAATTTTTACTGCATTAATGGGGCCTTTTTTTTTTTTTTTTTTACAATCAACTAAATGTGGCATTTTAGAATTAATTTTCCTTTCTCTAGCTTAGAAACCAAGTGCAAGAAAAAGCCAAAAATAGTCTATTCTACCTCTGCAGGTTCTCTTACATCCATCTCCTCCTTTCTGTTAACATTGTCAGTGACCTGCCCCACACCCTCAGTTCCTGTAGTTTGGAGAATTATAACAGCGTCTGAATTGGTCTTCCCACTTCTCGCCTTCAGCCTTCCCAGTTTTACTCACTGCTGCAAGAGAAAGTTTCTTAAATCACGTCTTATTATATTACTCTCTGATTTCATAATCTTCTTGATTTCCACTTACATTCTTTCTTGAAATTCAAGGCTCCCGTCATCTGAACCTATGTGGCCGTTTCACTTCTATTTCCTCTGCCGCTGAACACCGCAACCATGCTCGGTGGCGCCACGCTCAGCCTACGTTGATGTTCCATCCCACTTGTCCTTGCTCTTGACGTTTCTTCCATTAGTAGTAACCTTCCTCCCATTTCTACCTACAAAACCTACTTAATTATCAGGACCCAGCCCTAAATCATGTTTAACTTTGATTTGTGTGTGTGTGTGTAAATTTTAATAGTGTTTTAATCTTTTCTTAGCAGTTTTATGTTCTTGTACACATTTGATTCATTCTAGTAGATCTTAAATTTCGTGAAAGCAGATAGCTCCCTGGTTCCCAGCATCGAGCTCAGAGTTCTGAAGACAATAGATGCTCAGTAAAGGTTTATTGTGTTGGCCTGGGCCCAGAAATGCAAACTCAAGATGCTCACCTATTCAGAGGCAAAATCGAAAGAATAGAAACAACTTTATACTTTTTAAAAATGTATTCTTTTTTTTTTTATCCTCACCCAAGGACATTTTTTCCATTTTTGTTCAAATAGAGTAGGAGGAAGAGAGAAGAAGAGAGAAAGAGAAAGAAACATCGATGTGAAAGGGACACATTGAGTGGCTGCCACCCACACAACCCAACCAGGGCCATGGACAAACTGCAACCCAGGTCCCATGCCCTTAGCGGAACCGAACCCGGTTTCTCTGGACTGCAGGTCGATGCTCTAACCAGTGAGCCAAACAGGTTAGGGCTGTTTATTCTAACCCATTGTTTCTTTGCACTATTACAGTTTGAAAGTATTCATTATGCAAATTGTTCATCATTTGAGTCATAAGCATTGAATCAATAAACAATAGATAGTATTCTTGTCAAGTTCAATGAATTTTGTGATTTGACATTTAGGTATATTAGAATATTTGGCCAATTTTTAATTAGACCTTAAGGCAAATTCAACAGTCTGATTTTCAAAATGTCTACAATTTTCATATAGTCACTAATATTTGGGAACCTAGAAAAATTATACAATAGGTGATTCGCAAACCAGGTTGGGAATTTAAGATGTATCTATTTAGGGGTTAATCATCTGTTAAGTAACTCATCCGCCAATTCTCTCTTTTGGCTCTTCTTTACAAATATGAGAAATAGAAATATATTTTAAATATATGCTACACATTGGAAGGATCAGTGAAACCTAATTATGCTTTATTTGTAATGTTAAATTGCTAGGAAGGGGTGTGAGCAGCTAGACATGGGAAAGTAAATAATCAGGATCACAGAAGAACCCGTACATGGAACAAGATGTTCTACCTGTGATCAGTTCCTTTAGAGTGGTTCTAAACCTGTGGGTCGTGACCCCTTTTAGGGTCAAATGACCCTTTCACAGGGGTTGCCTAAGACCATTGGAAAACACATATTTCCGGTGGTCCTAGGAACCGAGACACCGCTCCTCTATTCGTCTTTAAGCGGGTCCGCCCACATGCAGATATGCCCACATACATCATGAGGAACTGTATTAAAAGGTCACGCATTAGGTTGAGAATCACTGCTTTAGGAGACGCAATTTAGAGGTTGAAGCATGAACTGGAGCAGGCTGCTAGAGTTAGAACCGCACCTCCATTCCTCAGTAGCTATGTGACTCTGGACATACTATTTAATCTACATCTCTTCAGTTCCCTCATCTGTAAGATGGGGATAATAACAGCACCCACCATGTGGAGTATATAAGGATTACCTGAGCATTTAGTAAGTGTTAGGAAGTGTTTGCTATTATTGAATGTATGCTTTCTAAAGTCTTAAGTATCTATTGTGGGTTTAAATATTAAATGCATTTATTGTTTTTTATTAGCTCAGTGACATTTATTTCATCCTATGATCTGAGTTTGTTTATCTGCTCATAAGTTTTATGAGAAACACAAGAATCAATAGGGATTATTTCAACTGAATTTAGAACTTCAAGGGTTAGGAGACCAAACAAAACAAGAAAAGAGGATTTCAAAGAAGAAATTAGATTTAAAAGTTTAAGAGATTAATGGTTGGTTAAAGGCATCCGGCCTCTACTTTAGATAACAGCTGGAAAGGCAGTAGTGCTGCTCCGTAAGGCAGCGGCTCCCCACCCCATTAGCAGTGAAGGCTTAATCTTACTCCCAAGGCGCTTATTAATAATGCAAAATCGATCGTTTTTGTGTGTGTGATTTCCTCACAGGAGTAATAATAGCCTGAAATGTATTTGAATGGTGATGCCATGAGAGAAATAAAAAAATTATGAATTAGAGTCCTATATATATGTCAAATATAAGCAATATTTACCATGGAAATCAATGTTGATAGCAGATAAGAGGAATTCAATTTCAGTTGTTGTCTTCCAGTTGCAATATATAAAGTCTAGGAACTTTTAGGGGAGGACTATAGAGAAATATGAAGAATATTAGAAACAAATCATAAATTATTATGGTTCACATATGTTAATTTACATTTAATCATTATTGATTTCATAAGATTGAGTGTTTCAGAAAATGTGACCTTCTTTACTTAAAAAATTTAAGCCTGGAAGCAGATTTGTAATACACCTATAGTAATTATAGGAGTTTATGATATATATAATCAGTATCTACATCTCTCTATATATTATATCAATATATCTATCATTATCTATATCAGTGATTTTCAACATTTTTCATCTCATGGCATAGATAAAATTACATACACCAAAATATGTATTATATTTTTTGCCAATCTGACAAAAAAATAGATATACTTTTCTTTTTTAAATACTCACCCGAGGATATTTTTCTATTTATTTTCAGATAGAGTGGGAAAGAGATAGAGAGAAGGAGACAGAGAGAAATCTACATGAGAGGGGCACACCGACATTTCTTCCTACATGACCCTGACCAGGGTCAGGGACAAACTGCAACCAAGGTACGTGCCCTTAACCAGAATCAAACTCGAGACTCTTTGGCCCTTAAGCTGACGCTCTAACTGCTGTGCAACCCGGCCAGGGCTAGATACACTTTCGATTCATTCACACTGGATGGCTATTGTGTTGGCTGTTGTAATTTTTTTATCTGGCAATCAAAGGGAAAAGAGGTCAGTGCCCTTGACTAAATAGTCAGGTATTGTATGCTTTAAAAATTCCAAGGGCACATGAGTGTGCCATGGCACAACGGTTGAAAATTGCTGATCTATTATCATCATTTATATCTATATATTTAATCCTACTTCATGTTATTTTCTGATCTTTATTTTTCATCTATTTGTTATCGTGTTGCATTATAATTGTGAAAGTATCCTCAATCATTAAAAAACTAAAGTAGAATATAAAAAAGACACAACTACAGAGGAATAAATGAAGCCCTAGTAATCATTTGCCTTATTACTTTCTGCTGCTCAACATCAGCAGCCATGTTGCATTTAACAAGTATAATTAGACTACGGTAGAGATTTTAGAGTCTAGTATTAATTGGAAGTCACTAGTAGGTAAACTGTTTTCTTTTTTTGTGAAAAAAGAAGGTTTTACTTTCTGAAACTGTATTTCATTCCTTAAGTGAAAGAAATGAAATACAATTATATATATATTTTTTGTTTTGTATTTTGTTTTTCCTATGTGCCCCTGGTGGGAACCGAACCCAGGGCTCTCTGGTTTGCAAGCCGAGGCTCCAAATGCTGAACCAAACTGGCCAAGGCAATTATATTTTATTTTTAAACTTATCTTTATTATTAAATGTATTACAGATGTCCTCCCTTTTTTCCCCTCAATGACTCCCTTCTCCCCGTTTCTGCCCCCCTCCTGCTTTCCCCACACTATCATATGTGTCCATTGGTTATGCATATATGCATATAAGTTCTTTGGTTTATCTCTTTCACCCCCCTTTCCCAAGCCCTTCCCTTGGAGGTTTGTCAGTCTAACAACCAAGTTGTACTTCTCAATTTCTTTACCTTTTTCACCTGTCATCCCAAACTCTTTCCATCTGACAACCAACAAAAAGTTCTCTGTATCTATGAGTCTGTTTCTGTTCTGTTTGCTCATTTTGTTTGTAGATTCAATTGTTGATAGATATGTATTTATTGCCATTTCATTGTTCATATTCTTCTTCTTCTTCTTCTCCTCCTCCTCCTCCTCCTCCTCCTCCTCCTCCTTCTTCTTCTTCTTCTTCTTCTTCTTCTTCTTCTTCTTCTTCTTCTTCTTCTTCTTCTTCTTCTTCTTCTTCAAGAAGACCCATCAACATTTCAAATAATACTGGTTTGGTGGTGATGAACTCCTTTAGCTTTTTCTTGTCTGGAAAAATATTTTTTAAAGAAAAAATATTTTTTCCTTATTGATTTTAGGGAGAGGAAAGGTGAGGGAGAGAGAGATGGAAACATTGATGAGTGAGAACATTGACTGGACACCTCATGCATGCACCCCACTGGGGATTGGGCCCTCAACCTGGGCATGTGCCCTAACCAAGAATTGAACTGGTGACCTCTTGGTGCATGGGTCGCCGTTCAACCACTGAACAGCATTGGCCAGGCATTGGAACCTCTTTATATGTCTTTTGATTCTAAATGATAGCTTTGCAGGATAGAGTAATTTTGGTTGTAGGTCATTGCTTTTCATCACTTTGAATATTTCTTGCCGCTCCTTTCTGGTCTGCAAAGTTTATTTTGAGAAATCAACTGACAGTCTTATGGGAGCTTCTTTGTAGGTAACTAACTGCTTTTGTCTTGCTGCTTTTAAGATTCTCTCTTTGTCTTTAACCTTTGCATTTTGATGATGATGTGTCTTGGTGTGGACCTCTTTGGGTTCATCTTGTTTGGAACTCTCTGTGGTTCCTGGACTTGTATGTCTGTTTCCTTCACCGCTTTAGGAAAGTTTTCTGTTATCATTTTTTCAAATAGGTTTTCAATTTCTTGCTCTCTCTCTTCTCCTTCTGGTACCCCCATGATGCAAATGTTGGTATGCTTGAAATTGTCCCAGAAGCTCCTTACACTATCCTTATTTTTTATTTTTTTGATTCTTTGTTCTGACTGGGCTTTTCTTGCTTCCTTATATTCCAAATTGATGGTTTGCTTTTTGGCTTTACCTACTCTATTATTGATTCTCTGTAAATTAGTCTTCATTTCAGTTAGTGCATCCTTCATTTCTGACTGGACCTTTTTTATGCTCTTGAAGTCCTAACTAAGTTCCTTAAAATTCTCACTAAAGTTCCTGAGCCAGTGTTTTGAACTCCGCATCTTTTAGATTGCTTATCTCCATTTCATGTAGTTCTTTTCCTGGAGTTTTGTTCTGTTCTTTCATTTGGGATGTTTGTTTCTCATTTTGGTTGCCTCCTTGTGTTTGTTTCTATGTATTAGGTAGGGTTGCTATGTCTCATAGGCTTCCTAGGGTAGCTTATTGTAGTAGGTGTCCTGTAGGGTCTGATGGCACAGCCTCCCTGGTCACCCCAGCTGGGCCCTCAAGGTGCATCCCTAGTGTGGACTGTATACCCTTCTGTTGTAATGGAGTCTTGATTGATGTTGGCAGGTCAATGGGAGGGATTCACTCAGGCTGGTCAGCTTCAAGGACTGGCTATGTCCACTGACCACTGATCTCTAACGACCTTGGAGAATCAGCTGTGCAGGACCCACCACACAGAGTAAGACTTACTTCAGCAGTGCCCACTGAGTCCACTCTTGAGTGTGTTGCTTGTGAAGGTGATTGGGTAGTAGTACTTTGATGTGGTCTGAAGCTGTCCACTGCGTGTGCTAGATCTGGGGCAAAGTCAGCCACTGCTTGTGTTCTACCTGGGACCACCAGGCACAAACTACAAAGCAGTCTGCAGATGGCTGCCTCTTGTGCTGGGCTTGGAGGTGGCCAGGCAAAGCCACACTGTAAAACCAAGGCCTGGGGCCAGTTAGCTAGAGGTATGGGGCTCGCTGAGGCCAGATGCTGTTTTTGTGAGAGAATTTAGGAAAATCTGAAGCAAGAGCCAAGACAGGCCATTCCTATGGTAAAGCCACTAGAAACAGCTTAGGTGGGCCTAAAAATTGGGTGGGGCAGGGCCTCAGGGAATCACCAGAGCAGCAAACAGTGTGAGCCAGGTTGCTGGAGTCCCAGATATGGTTGTTATCTGCTGCCTCAGGAAAGGGCTCACCAAAGGAACAATGGCCTCCCACTGCAAGTCTGTCCTGGAGAAAGCTGCCCCTCCAGCTCATGCCCTGATGCCAAACCACTCGTTTCTTCCCTGTATGTCTCTGGTGCCTTTCAAGGCACCTCCCTAACACTGGAGCCTGGAGGGAGCAAGTCTGAGTAAGTGTGTGGGCCCTTTAAGAGGAACTGCCTGGGGCTCCCTCAGCCTCAGTTCCCACCAGGTTTTACAGCCAGAAGTTATGAGGCTTTTCTACCTGGCACTGGAACCCTGAGCTGGGGGCCTGGTGGGAGGGGACCAGCCCGTCCGCGCCTCCACGCCTGCTACCAGCCTCCATGTGGCTTTTCTTTAATTCCGTAATTGTAGGACTTCCATTCAGCTTGATTCCGGGTGGTTCTGAATGATGTTTTTTCTGTAGTTTAGTTGTAATTTTGATGTGGTTGTGGGCGGAGGCAAGTGCCGTATTTACCTACGCTGCCTTCTTGACCAGAACTGGAATAAAAAACAATTAAAATCTTAGCCTGCTTTTGTTTATTTTAAACCATTTCATATTTTATTATTGGTATTTATAACAAGGTTCATAGATTTATTTTTTACTTATTCGTGAGGAACTGAGAAGCCTATTAGATATTAACTAATGATCAAGAGGTTTTTTTTCTTTTCATATAAATCAAACAAAATTGTATTCTCTATTTCAGTATCTTAATTTTCATTAACTTCCACACATTAAAGTGCTTCATTTTTAGTCCTTGTATTTTATTTATAATGTCATGCCATAGAGACATCAAGTGTGCCAAACTCATGATTATCTTGGCAGGACTGTTAAATCAATACTTTTAATTTTCTCTTATAGGATGGCCTTTCTTTTATGACAAAAAGTCATGATAGCTTTTGAGTTTAAAAATCTGTAGGTGTTCTCCTGGTACATGCTATGCTAAGTGATTCTGTACAATCTGAACAACCTGTCAGAATAGCTGCATTTAGTCTTTCACTTCTGCAAAAATTCTGGTTTTGAGCTTTAATTTTTTTTAGTTTTACATTCATCACGAATCTCTACAACAACACTCCAGGACATTAATTAAAAAATAGATTCATAACTAAGTCCATAAATTAAAACATTATAGAAGACACATATCTGCCAAAATGTTGTGAGCCCAGATGATGGCTTTCATCTTCATAGTTGTGTCCCACTGTATCTCAGGGACTGGATTGCAGTCACTTTAACATTCGTATTCTGTGTCAACATTTTCAATAAAAAAACTACTACATATTTTTGAAAACCTTAATATTTATATGTTTGTGCAAGGTATGTTAGTGTGTGAAATTTATAAATGAGCAAAATCAGTATTTAAAAAAAAAGCCTTTGAGTTCATTTCCTTTAAAATTCAGATGTACGGGGTAGGGCGGGAGCAGGGAGGAGGATGTCAATGGGAAGAGACATCTGCAATACTTTTAACAATAAAGATAAAAGAATAATAACATTCAGCTGCAGCAGAATGAAATACTAGTAGGTGGTGCATTACCTACTAACAGACTGAAGAACCGGAGCACTGCAAAGGAAGTGGCTTAAACCAGGATTTTTTAAGAGCAGTAATGGAAACAAATGTTGCCTTTTCAGTTTGCTCAGTCATGATAACTGTCTGTGAAGTATTGTGCTCATTTTAGGGGTTGTCTTCTCAGTTACCTGCTATCAAAGAATTATAAGTAAAAGGAAGAGATAAACCTTGTATATGCCAGAATCTCACTTTTCTCAGTCAGGCTACACTTTACAGTGAATCAAACACATTAACCACTTTCCAGTCAGTGG